CGAATGAACAATTTTTATCAATATGGAGAAGATGGATTGTTTATATTCAAAAGAAGCATAGAGTGGTAGAATATAACTTAGGTTTTTAGATATTTTTTTTATCTTGTTTACTCTTTCTATCTCTTTAAGTAGATTAAGACATTTTGTGGAGTTAGAGATATTAGTATTTGTTTACTTATATATGAATATTATCCTGGGATTAGGTTTGGGAAGTCCGGGGGGGGGATTTTACTTGTATTTATGTTTATGATTGTTTTTTTATGATGAAAAATAATAAAATTTCTTAAAAAAAAAAAAAAGGAACTTTTATTGGAAGGTGTGGCCAGCAGTAGTAGAAGACAGGATCTAATGCTCACCTGGTAATATGCCTCCCGTAGGTCCAATTTTGAGAATATCTCCCCCTTTGCTAGGAGGGCCAACATGTCCTTCATTAGCGGCAAGGGGTAGATATTGTTTTTGCACACCACGTTCAAGGATATATAGTTCATATAGAGGCGAAGAGACTCGTTTTTCTTTTCGCGGAACAGCACCAGGGCTGCCGTTTTTGGTCTTGCTGGCTATATGAAACATCATGCTAGATTTTTCTCTATAAATTTGTGCAACTCTTCCAGCTCCCATGGAGTCATTGAGTACAGTTTGGGCTTAGGCAATTTGGCTCCTGGTAGGATCTCAATGGTACAGTTGGTGGGCCAATGAGGGGGCAGCTCGTCGGACCGTTCTTCGCTGAACACTTCAGCTAGATCCCGGTATTCCTTGGGTACAGCTTCCAACCCCCGATCTTTTGAGGTTGCTACCACGTCAGGAGCTCCTTTCCTCTTGGGTCTGTGCTGCCCCCATTCGGTGAGCTTCTCTTTTGGAAACCTCAACTCTTCTGTCCTCCAGTCCACCCTTGGGTTCCACTTCCTCAGTCATGTCATCCCCAAAATTAGGGGCCACTCCATGCCAGGGGTCACTATAAAAGTCAAAGTCTCGATATGATCCCCCATCATGAGCTCGACTGGCTGTGTGGTGAGGGTAGTTGGGATCCCCCCTGAGATGGACTCATCTAGCTGGCCAAATGAAAATGGCTTCTTCAGCCTCTTCACTAGAATCCCTAGAGTTCCCACTAAGGTTGGGCTTATTAAGCAACGGGCACAATCCGAGCCCAACAGAGCCTTCAGGGTTACTTTTCTCGGCATCCCTGGACTTAACAGTTCTATTGTTCTTGTTCATCCTCAGAGTCGCTATCAGGTGAGTTGGGTGGCTTTCCTGTTGGGGCCAGAATTCCTTCCCACAGGATCCTGGGGGATTGGACCTCGATGACCTCAGCGCTCTTCATGGAGTTCTCCCTGGATCACTGAGGAGTCTTCCCAGGCTTCCCTCCATCAGATCGGTCTGGCTTGCATACAGGAGTCTTCGAATGGCATTCTGCAGCCCGGTGCCCTTCTTTACCGCACTTGAAGCAGGCAGTTGAACATGGTGCTGCAGTGGGGGTTTGGTCGCCTCTCATTTACCCTCTGGGGGGAATGTCTCCATATCTGGCCAAGTCGTCATTGACTTTGGACTTGGTCAATCTCAGCTTCCTTGGCCAGGATGCACTAGTCGTGGAGGTGATCCGGAGCTCCCCAGGCAATGCACATTTGGTACAGAACATCGTTCAGCCCATCTTTGAAATGGTCCACCAGGATTTCTTCCAGCCAGTTGAGGCGACATGCCAGGTTTCTGAACTCCTCCATATACTCGGCCACTGGGTGATGACCTTGCCTCACCATTTTGATGCGCTCTCTTGCTTTCCGGTCAGCTAAGGGGTCCTCAAATCTCTGCCTCAAAGCAGCCATAAATTGATTGAAGTTTTGGAGCTCAAGGGTGTCAGTGTTATGCAGGGTCACCATCCACCAAGTGGCTGCTCCCTCCAGGGCTGTGGTCACCACCCTGACCCGTCTGCTGTCGCTGGGGATATCCTGGCCATATTCCTCCATGTAGCTCAGGACATGGGCTAGGAAAAATCCTAGCTGCTGGGGTGCCCCGTCATACTTCACTCCCAAGAGTGGGACCTTCTGATCAGGCTGGAGGGTCCTCCTTCATCTGGCTCAGCACCTATCTTTCCCAGCTGGGATGACCCATGCTAGCATTGCTGCTGCAACCATTGCTTCTGTAGCTTCCAAGGCACCAGGATTTGCCAGCTTGCCCTCTCAGCATTCCTCCTCTGCCAGTCTCGGCACCACTGAGCCCTAGCAGGGGTCTTCTTCTTCCTTTTTAAGGGTTTTGAAAGCTTCCACCATCAGACTGATGGCTTGTTTAAGGAAGCGATCAGACTGGGTTGGTCTCTCATCTTCTTCTTCGCTGAGGTTGAGAGACCTCTCCATCTCTCACTTCCATCCCAGTTGATAGCTGCCACACTTGAGGATCACCTTTCTGGCTTTTGCTTCCCATTCTTCCTTCTTGCCCATGCCAATTGACCATCTCGGCTTTTCCCGACTGTCTCTGGTTACAGTTTTGTCAGACAAGCTGGAAGAATCTGAGCTGCTGCCGCTCAGGCCAACCTTGAGGGGAGCTTCCCTGCAAAGATTGCTTTGTACCTTCTCACCACTGTGGTTCGACATCACTTTGCATGGTCCTCACGGTAGGGGTTTTCCCTCCAGGTTGACTACTTTGCAGATTCTGCCTAATGTAAGGTCTTGCCTCAATTAAGTCTCCCAAGAAAGCAGAACTCTTGAAATGGGCATCATTTCAAAAGGAACTTTTACTTGAAGGTGTTGACAGCAATAGTAGAAGGCAGGATCTAAGGGTTTCCTGTGTGAATCAATGTCAGAAGAGTCAATAGAAACCCCACTCAAGTGTCCATCTGGCCGGATCAAATAGGCCAATCTGCAGGTGTGAAAATGTTGGGAACAGAGTGATAAGGCGCTGCTTCCAAGGCTGTTAGGTCTCCATGCCTCTTCTTCTATGCCCAGAGATAAGGCAGATGCTGGAGGCATGTTCCATTTTCACCCCGAGGAAGAAACATCAAATAGAATAGAGCAAGGAAACAAGCAAAGGAAATACACTGTAGCAGCCCCAAGCTCCCCCTCCGCCCAGAAGAATGGCAGAACCTGAAAGAGAACAGGAATTCCCATTCTCATAGAAAGACAGGGTTCTTGCAAATATTCCAATACACCATTATTACTAATTTGTCATGCAACGGTAGTCAATCTATGCAATCTTCTTGTAGCAGTTAACTAGATGGTCCACTTCTTTGCAAAGGCAGCATTTCTTGTCTGTAGGATCTTCTCAATTATGGCTCTGTATGCATTTGTTCTTAAGGCTTGTTCTGTGCAACCAGAATTACCCCCTCTGTTTCTTTCTTCAACTTTTCTGCACTTAGCCACTTTGTTATCTATTTTTTCTGCTAGTTTTTTAAGTACTAGCCAAGTAATACTTTGTCTTGCCATGTCTGTTTCCCATTCCTCATTTGTTTTTTCTTGGAGGACAATGTGATCTCTTCAGTACTCAATAAATCTGACAGGTATTCTAGCTTAATTTTCCTCACTGTCCTTCAGATATTTTGTTCTGCTTGAGTCCACTATTTCAGCTGTGTATCTAATTGATGGAATTTCCCAAGTGTTAATTGCTTTGATGGTATTTTCTTCACTGACTTTAAGATCTTCTTTAATCGCTTGATGTATTCATTTCTGACCTTCTTCTTGATTTCAAGTTGCTTGAAGTTGTCAGTTTGAAGGATGCCAGGGAATTGTAGCGATTGTCTTCATCCAGACCTTTTATGTTATATTCATAGGACAACTTGATTTCTTCAATTTTCACCAGTTTTCCCATGTTGATGGTGAAGGTAGAACATTGTCCAATCCAAGCTCCATTGCAATGTCTTGGCTGTATATACGAACAGTGTTGAAAAGGGGTTCTGCTTCAGATGATGCTTTTCCATGTAGTTTCAGATTGTCCATGTAAAACTGGAGGATGTTTTGGATGTTTGATATCCCTGGTCTGAGTTATTCAATATAGTTGATGAAGGAATCAATGCAAAGACAAGCAGTAGCAGGGACAGAGAGTTTCCTTGAAATTCTACTCTTGAAATTAATATCTTCCATCTATCACCATTGACCAGCAACTGTATCTGTAATTATTACTTTTACCTCTTTAAGAATAGGGATGGAAGAAGCAAAATGACTGCTTCTAATACTGAACAGAAAATCATTTAACTAATGCGATTACATTTTTATTATTTAATTCATTTTCCTGATTTTAAATGTAATATTAGATATTCCTGCTGAGGTCGTAAGCCTCTCAGCCCCCAAAATAACACTTCAGAAATAAGGTTTATCAAACAGAAGTTCCTGTGCCTTCAGCAAGTCAAGGAAATTATTTTATAAAGTGCTTTAGCATAATCTTGTTAAACCCATAGCAAGACTTCAAAAGAAAAGGTTTCTAGATGTTTGGCTGCTAACAAGGGAAATCAGGAACTGGGGAATTGCAGGCATCTTCAAATGCTTGTATCCCCTAATTTCAAATTCCTTGCTTGCTTTACAAAGCGTGATACTGAGGTTTTTGGAAATTTATAACATCTTGTCTAAGATCCATGAATAAGAAAGTATCTCTTCTATGCACACTTGGAGAAAATAGCATTAAATATGTCTCCATATGGTTCATTGATATTTATTTCTTAATAACAGGCAATGTTAGAAAAATAGTTAAAACCAAATTTTGCTTTTCAGAAATCTTCCCAAGATCATTGTATACATTTTATAAATTATTTCTTACAGAGTGACACTCAGGATAAAGTTTCAAAAGTCAATACAAGTACTGATTTTCCATTCTATATTAAAATGAAAAGATGATTCTGTATTGTATTGTCGAAAGAAAAGTCTTCATCAGGGTCCAGTCCAAGCTGGGAATAAACAAAATGGAGACTGCTTTAGAAAGAAGGTTGCAGATTAAATACGGTTCAAAAAGCTAAAGATTTTTATTTATCGGTCCTGAAAGCTGATTTATCATCATCATCGACATCTAAAGCAAAGGAAGATTTGATGGAGGAACTTGTTGTGGAACTGCCTGGGGCTATGTCATCATCTGTAGGAGATCTTCAGAATCAACAAAAGTTGAGAGTGAATTCAAAGGAGCAAAGAATGACCCGTGCTGCTTATAGGCGTAAAGAGAAAGAGCAACAAAAAGAAGTTGTATCCATAACATATTCACCGATCTCGGAGCCAGTGGGAGGGGTGAGGCCAAAGAGATCTGTAACGACAGATCTGCAGGGAATGCTCAATAAGCTCCACAAGCCAAAGGATGGTTAAGTTGATGACGCTGAGATTCAAAACATTTGATCAACTCGAGATTGGGATTTCATTTTATTTCTCCAGCTTTGAAGAAGAAGGCATCAGCCTATATGTATTAAATCAGCAACAACAATAAAAACAATTTTATAGGTTTCTGCATAAGAAAATAATTCAATTGGACTATGCTGGGTGATCGGAATGGGGTGGTTGATCCAATGAAAGATAAGAAGACTTCTTTGAAAGTATTGACTCAAGAGTGAAGAAAGTGAAGGAAAAACTCAAGTGTAAAATTTAAGAGAAAATTTTTTATAAGACGTTGTATAGATGGTATTTAGATGTATTCTAGATTACAGCTTAAATGTTGGAGATGGGATTATATTTAGAGAAAGTATGGAATGAATAAATGTCATATAGGTTTTGAGTAGATATTAGAGTTAAAGTATGTAAATATTGATTGTATTATGTTTGTTTAGTTTAATTGTTACTTAGATATGGGATGGGATGTGTTTTAACCCTGTATTTGGTTCTAGGAAGTCTAGGGGGGAGGGGGGAAGGGGGGAGGGGAGAAGGGGACTAGGGGAATTATAAAAATTGATGTATTTATATATTATAGGTAAATAATGGAATTGTATTAAAAAGAGGAGATGCTCGGCTGGTACCCCAAACTGCACTCGATGAGGCGGTTGAGAAGGGAGATGGGATGTAGGGAGGTGGAAAGGAGGAAAGAGGGGAGGTTGTGGGTTTAGGGAGAGGAAGGAAGAGGAAGGTGAATGAGGGTGGAGGCAAGGCGGGGCCTGCCGAGCGTCTCCGAAAATGTATTATTAATGTATTATTTCTTTTCTTTTTGTTTGTGTAAGTAAATGCATCATACTTGTGTTATTTGTTGTTTAACTTTAAAATTAATAAAAAATTTAAATAAAAAAAAAAGAAAGAAGGTTGCAGTTTACTGAAGAGGAGAGCCATACAGAAAGATGGCTCTGGGAAAGATGACCACATGTAGCAGGGAGTGGTGGGTTTTTATACTTTCTGGGGCTCTTGAGGTTGTTTTTTGCTCCTGTTTGAGGCTTTGTATTTCCTGTGATGTACTTTGACCTGAATCTGAGTGTGCCCTTTTCGTATTGGTGGGTTAATCCTATTATGTCTCCTGTCCTTAGAATTTGGGTGGGGGTATGTAGATTTTAGGTGTCTTTGTCTTCCTAATAGCTTCCTGGCTCCAGCCTTCCTGAATGGATTATTACAACTGCATTTCTAAAAGCTGGCCTCTGCCTAGTTTCTGTTTGGGGGAGAGTGGCTGGGGCTGGTTTCTGGGGGCTGGTTTCTCGGGGCTGGTTTCTGTCTTTTTAAATATCTTCTCCATTATTCCTTTGGGGAAATATTTCTGCCTTTTTAATATTCCCCAAAATATTTCTTTCTCTGGATTCTTCCCACAGTATATACAGTAATTGTTTCATTTGTTTTTTGGTTTTAAGGTATGCCACAGTACATAAAATATTATTAGAGAAATGTCAATGTGAGAGGCAGGGATTGATGCTTATCCAATTAGATGTCTGTGAATTAAAATCAGAATGGAACACACTTTCCAGGTTATCATGTGTTTAATTATAACTATCTATATGATCTTAGAATTTGGTATCCATATCTTCAGCTCTTTTTATTAAAAATTATCAACAATCCCAAATTTCCAAACTTTTTTTTATTTTATTAAAAGAGACAGAGAAGGAAACTTACAGTATGTCATTATACATGCTAAATCAGCTAGCTCTTCAAATGGATTTGTCACCATTTTAGTCTATGTTAGTTCCATTTTTTATGTTAAGAATCAAGATAGTTTGTATTTTAAAAGGAGAACCAAAAATGCAATAACTGAACAGTCCTGGATAGTTTTCCTCATAAAACCAAAAATCTAAATAAATAAATAACTCCAGAAAATAACATCCTCCTTAAAAAAAAAAAAAAGGGGGGGGGAACCCTAAACATTTAAATCTGACTCAAATAAGCAAGTATTTGCTAAGGAGAGAGAGACTGGTATATTTTTATACATAGGAAATTCTTGATTCAGTCATTCAAATGAATGGAAAAATCAGCCAGCATATGCAAGAATTCCATGTGTATATTGTGGTGCATACAAGTAGCCTGATTAGTGCCTGCTTTTGCTTTTGAATAAGTTTGAGTTTCAACAAAAATTGAGCACTTGCTGCCATTTGTTTTCCTTTTCATACTATAATTATAACTGTTTCCTTTGCAGACCTTGCCAGTGAGGTTTGGAGATGGACAACTATATACCTGGACAGATGGTTTGAAAAGAAAGGACTGGCATGACTATGAACATATTCAAAAAGATGCCATGCGTTTAGGTGAGATGCTTAAGGTACTTGACCCATACATGTAGGCAATTGGGAATGGGCAAGGGGAAGAAATGAGAGAACTACATTACTTACTTACTTGTGAGCAATGTCAAAATACAACTATGAAAGGACAGTTTGTGTTGTGATGTCACTATGCACATTTCTTCTTTTTCACATCATTGTGGTTTCTGCTGGACATCTATGTCCCTACGGACTATGTAGTTTTGCAATAGACCTGGATAAATAGTATCTACAGAGATATCTTCCAGTATCTGAAATATCATGCAAAATGTTGAATACCAAACTCAGTTTCATGGAAATCCACTTTCATTAAACTGAAGTTTGTTGCTGATCATTTATTTCTTAAAAGTCAATGTCTAGCCAGAAGTGCCAGAAAGATTGCTAAATATGATGCCCAGAAGCAGAGGTTGGAACTATAATGTACATTTTAGTTGAAATATTAAGGTAAGTTAGTGTGACATTCCATCTGCCATCTTGCTAATTTTACCTTTCCCTCCATCCTTATGGATGCCACTATGAATTGTCACATTTGAAATAGAAAGAAAAATGGATCTGTTCCATAGCACTGTCACTGAATAAATTTTAAAGTACTGTATCCTTTCCCTGTTTTTATATTTTTTATCCTTTAAAGTTCAGCTCTTGTAAAAAATTAAATTATTTCCCCAAAAACCTTTGAATGATTTATATACTATCCTTATTAGTTTGTTTTTAAAACTGTAAGGCTGAAGCAAAATGACTAAAAGTCACATTGTGAATGTCTTTGCTGAGTGGGGATTTAACCAAGCTGTTCCTAGTCACAGTCCAGTATTAATCATAACAATACTGAGTTAGATAGACATATATTTCCAACGGTACCTTGTGCAGCTTAAGTGAGACTTTGTTCTTGTGTTGGCCTCCAATTCCTTATTTGAATGGAAGTAGCTTTCATTTGTATGGAAGTGGCTATAAAAAGCACATTTTTCCAGTGTAACTGTGAAACTGGGAACCAAGAATTAATCTATAAATTACAGTTTAGTATAGGTATATGAAAGTGTGCTAGCCCATCTCAATGTTTTACACATTATAACTAAACAAAGATCACAGAAGCACAATGGGCTTCAGGTCATATTTAAAACTTATTTATCAAATTAAATTTGATCCTAACTGAGAAGGAGTAAAAAGATGTACAAACTCATGAAAGAATTGGCACTGTATCTTTTTGGTTGTTTACAGTATGAAAAAAAGCATCAATACATGTTTACCTTGAAAATTAATAGTATATAAAGCACACTGTTTCAAGATTTTCTAAATTTAGTAACAAAGCATCCCATTAAAATCCAAAATGATCCAGAGGAAGGGTGGCCAACTATTTTATGTAACCAGGAATTACAATGTGATAGTATTTAAGAATTAGCAGGAAGAGCAATAATATTTTACAAAGTCTATTCAAAGACTTATTTCTTGGCTTATAAGAAACAGTACAGTTGCATCATCATGAAACTTCCGGCTGTAGAACATGGCGGACCTACCGGGGTTAGTCCCTTGAGGAGACGGAGGAGACGGAGCCCACGGCAGAAAACAGGGGGCCTCCTGAGAGCCGGCGACTCGGGGCTGGGATGCTGAGAGTGCAGGGCTTTGCTGGCGGCCGGTGCTGGGGGTGCCGAGAGCGCTGAGCCCGTCGGCGGCCCGCTGGCGGCCGGGCGGAGAAGACCGGATGGAGGATGCGGCCC